TTTAACATGAAAACAGAATTTTGATCATTGCCAATCTAGTACCATTGAAATTTGAATTCTTGTATCCATCAGCCAAAAAAAAACCAAAACAATGCCCTTCTTTTTGAATCCAACATTCCTGTGACTTCACAAGGAACAGGACTGCTACAGAATGAGCATCATGCTGACACATTATACTAAGTCATTTAACATCCAAAGGTAATCCTCTGAAGAACAGATTTCAGCCAGCGGGCATATTTATGTCCTTTTACTCCAAATGCCTTTGGAGGTCAGTGTATTCAATACACTGAAAAACGAAATGTCCATTTACAGGAATATTCAAATACTAAATATAAATATCCACAATACCAAGGAAGTGTCTGGATCTGGAGTTTAACTGTAGATAGACCTCTGCTAAGAAAACCATTACTCTGATAGAGAAGAAAAATTACCGGCCTCCGTGAAAACAAGCAGTCTTGGGAAATACATTTCAAAGAGCACAAGGACACAAATTATCAACATAAAACAGGCAAAAGAAAAAAAGTTTCAAACATCAAATCAAAACAGTCTTAGAAAAGCTGATTTTTTTTTTTTTTTTTTTTTTAATGAGTTTCCTCTCTTTTCTATTCTCTGCAGGTTTCCATCCTTATTGCACTGAAAAGCAAACATTGAAAATTCCCAGAAAAGAAAATAAACCACCATGCCTACTCTTAATTACAGCTTCTGTCTATGTAAACTACAATCTGTGCTGTGGATGAATTCAAATCAAGGGAGAAGAGGAGCCTTAGGATTGTTAGTAAAGAAAATCAGCTGAAACTCATATCTTTTTAACAGGAACACACCTAATGATACTCTGCCAGCATTTGAGCTATAGGTCAGTTGATTCACCTAACTTCATAGTGTCTGTTAATTGTTCAGTGACAAAACCCATTTTTTCAACCTGACTGTTGCAGGTTCTTAGCCTTCATTTCAAGCCATGTAGCTTTTAAGTATATCAGTTCACTAGACCAAGAACAGTGCTATATGTGGAAAGAAACAGTGCAGGAGGAGAAGAGGGAAAGATAAGATTGACATACTCTTTAAGGTGAACAATTTAAAGCAAAAATTAAGCCTATGACCACCTCACCTTGCACAGCATCTGTCACAACTTTCTAGGTGCATTAAGCAAATTAAAAATGCAAACATGTTGCAACAGCAAGGACAGTGGAACTCCCTAAGTCACAACCCTTAAGCAGAGTATATATATCCAATGCCTCTCCATCTACCAGGAAAAAAAAAAGTCTTGAGCACAACCTTGAAGTTAAAAGGCCTGACAGACATTCAAATTGGTTTCAGAGTTCTCCAGGGAGAACAGTGCATATGCTTTGGTCTCTCAAAGCGTTAATAGCTTGTTTCCCAGTTGGTGTCAGTAGTGGCAGAAGAAAATGGCCATAGAGATGGTGGCCTGGTTTTCCTCCTGGCTGTATTTTTTTGCCTGCCTTAAAATTTGTTCTCTCTATAGCACTAAGAGGCTCTACTGTCAAGATTTCTGGGTGTTATTTTAAGATAAACAAACAACAGCACATATGAGAAATACCAAAGGCAGCTACAAATCCAAAACATAATCCCTAACTTAATAGTTTGTGTATTTCTGCAAAGTATCCATTTTGCACTCCGGAAGCTGGGACAGTCCTTTTGTTTATGTATAGATCTCTACAATAGATGTCCTCTTACATATCATACTGAAAATGACAGTTATGTTGTAGTGTCTGACTACCAGCCTTTAGTGTGGGTTCTGCATAGTCCAGAGAGCAGAGGTACTGCATTTCCTTTTCTCACTCCTTCTGTAAAGGAACCATCTCTGCCTCCTAGCTCATGCCTCTAAAATGAAATACCTTCCTCCATCTAATACACAGGGGGAAGCGAGTAGGCTGCATCCAAGCAGCATCAATACATGGATCACACTGTCAGCTCTTTTGGCTACAGAACATCACATTAGTTTTCCCAGATGCTGTCAATGAGCAAATGGTTCCGGATTGTTTAAAAGTCATATGTGATTTGCATAGCAATGCTTTTCCCTGCTTCCTTAACAAGTACTGCTCTGTAAACAAGTGTGAAAATGTCACACTGATATATTAACATTTGTATTAGCAATTAAATTGAAAGATTTCCCTATTTAAATACATTACAGAGACATTATCATCTCAATACACAGTGACTCTTTCTGTAGCACTTTGGTTTACAAAATAAGCTTCTTGTTTACAAAAACATTTTTAGGTATGTAACTCAAGGTCAAGATTAGACAGTACCATAACAAGTCATCCAGCCTGTCTAGATCAGAAGAAATCACACACAAGTTCACACTCTGCATAACTGCAGGCTTGATTCTGACAGATACAGGTAAAAAGTAGAAACTTTTAGAAAGTTTATTCTCCATGCAGTGCTTGGAAAAACAAACAGCTTTGTTCCTACTGAAAAACAAAGGAGAGGAAAATAAACCCAACAGTATTTTCAGCTTTTCACTGAAAATAGGAAAAAAATCAGCAAGCTATGGTTTTGTGACACTCTTAAACTGTGTGAGAGAGACTTTTAAAGATAGAAACTCTCAAGATTACAAAGTTTATTCCTCACGCTGTATCTGCTGTAATTTTAAAAACACTATACATTGTTACAGCAAGAACACTTCTACTGACAACATTTTTTTTCTAAAATCAGTTTCCCACTCCTTTAAGCTTTCCATCTTAGCCATGAGCACCAGGTAAAATACCTAACCGTGCCAATCATTCTCAAAGAACATCCATCAGTTGCACCTTTCCAAATGAGAGCAGCAGGGTAGGTCTGACATCCTAAACCCATGTCTCTTTCTGGAATTAATGAGCCAGCAGAACTATGAAGAGATAACCAAAGTGTTTTATGTGGCAGCAAGGAACACAAAGGTCAGTTGAAGGAATTTTCTACATCCTGAATCTCCCACTTCTATTACTAGAACCCATGCTGACTGATTTGGCTTCTCTGAGGAGTGGAAGGATTATAATTTCTCTGAGCTGCATGTAAGCAGCAGCAAAGACAGAAACCACACATACACTTACAGTGTAAGAACTATTGAGGATGTGGTGTTCACAACAGAACACTAATACTTCAGAAGAACTGACAGCTGAGAAGATCTATAGCTGCTTGACAGGTACAATGCGATTTGCTTTTTGAAATCCCAGCAGAAAATGTTGTTCTGAGAGTCTAATAGTTGGGATGATATAGAGCAAGACATTACTGTAGTCAGACAAAACAGCAGAAGGCAAATTATGCTCTCCAGTGTGCTGGAGAAAGCCAGAACTCCAAAGTCAATAGTGATTTTCTGGATTTAAAACAAAAATGTTCAGAGAAGAACTTGCCACAATTTCATGAACTTCAGTGCATTACTCTCAAAACGTACTGAAATACACAAAAAATACACTGAAATTCTGGTAAGAATAAGAGTGAAAGAGAAAGATAATTAAGATAATAAGATTACTTCAAAGTGAAACTGCATCAGTCTAGGAAGGAGGTATTTCATTTCCAAATCTTTATCTATATATAGCTATTAGGGAGGCAAAACTAAGACGACTAACTTTCTTACATGTTTTTATATACAGTACATAGAATAGGAACTGATAACAAGGGACAAGTTATATGAATGCAATCAGCCTCCCCTGCCTGTAATACGTGCAGTGATCACTTCAAACTTCATCTATTGAAATAACTTCACTACTGCTTTACCGTCTCTTGTGACATCACTGTAGTTGTCATGATGATTATTTTACATGCACTGTACCTATCAAGAAGGTGCTACAGAAGATTCTCAATGTTCATCAAAATGCAAAAGTTCAAGAACTGTTACCCCTAAGGGTGGCAGAGAAAAGCTCAAAACATGACTACAGATCTTTAAAAAAACACCAGATCTTTTAAAAAAAAAAACCTAAAAGAAATTTTAAAATATCCCTACAACAGTGAAATTACTTTAGTAGGATTGTTTTAAATTAATCTAATTATTTTGGGTAGGGAAAGCTCATACTTTCTAAAAATACCTGTTATTGAAGTTACTATGCCCAACACAATTTAAAGCACAACTCCTTGTTCTAGTCCAGGCATGCTTCCGCCAGTCATGAGAAGAAAGTATACTTGTTTTTCAAGAGAGTGGATAGTCTGAGATTATTAGTTTTACAGTAGCTGGGCCTCCTTTATGAAGTGCTGCTGTGAATGAATTAATGTAGTTATGAACAAATGAGTCATTTTCTGACACATTAAATTAAAACAAGGTCCAGATTTATGAGCTGTGCAGTGGCAGTCAGGATGACATGCACCTTCTAAAACAATTTCTGTTTCTTTTTAATGGAAAATTACAGACCTGGCATAAGACTCCAAACACTGAGAATTTAATATTTATACACTGCATACTCTGGGTCCTAAAATGACTCGTTGGCTAGTTTGAAAATTTTGGAGGAGAAACATTTTTCTGAAAGGAACATGGGAGCAGAATGAAGGCAAATACAAATGCATTTGCTACATTTCTATTCTGACTCCAGAGCAGCTCAATTCATAGACTCTATTTAAATTCCATGGGCAGAGAAAAAAGAAAAAAATGGCAATACATAAAATTTTGCATTGGTTTCATTTTTTTCCCTCTATTAATTGCTGAAAGACTAAATGAATTTTCACACCCTAACAGATGCAAGCCTATCTGAATATTTTTGGATTTGGGACGCCCAACCAGCTTTTGCAAATGATCAGTTATTTACTTGGTTACTCACTTCTGCTAGTTGTTTCATATGCAATTCTTTTAATGTGTGGCTGATTGCCATGCAATCAGCATGACACAAGTGGAAATTTAACAAACTCAACTTCAAAGCAAACTCTTTTTGGAGAATATTTAAGCATAGCAACCTTAATATTTGATATTTACCAATACTGTAATTATGTCAGCATAATTCCACTTGTACATTTACAGAACATGATCATCAAAAAGACTTCACTTTAGATTTTAATTAAACATCTGTGAGCAAACGTACCTGCTAGTAAATGACATCTCCTGCTTCTCAGTTAGAAGAACACTGCAGAAGTGGCTGAAAATTGAGTGTTGTCACATCTATGCTTCCTCCCCAAGAAAAGATGAAAGAGGAATGGCGTGCATCTGTAAGAGAAGAACCAGTGAGTCACTTTTTTTTGTCTTACATAGGAAGTTCCTTAGTTCTACGTAGAAAGAATTTTCTTTTTTGTCATGATGTCATTTCATAAGCACTGTAACTATCAAGAAGATGCCATAAGATTTTCATCTTCCAACAAAGCTCAGAAGTTCAAGAACTGCTACTCCTAAGGGTGACAGAGAAAAACTTGAACCGTGATCATAGGTCATTAGAACTGTAACTTCAGATCAGCTTAGCATCTTATTTCAAAACACTCAACTGAGTTCAGGATAGAACACACACATAAATATGTTTAAGATGCTGGAAGACATACACATGGTGACCAGAGACATTCTAAGGAAAATAGTTGGAAATGCAAAGTATTTTTATTTTACAGTTAGAAACAGTTAACGTGGTATCTTTTTTTTTTCCCCTGAAATTAGAAGAAAGAGAAAATGCAACAAGATGACCTTATTTATTTCTCTCTACCATTCAATCCAAAGAAAAGGAAGTGCAATAAACGAATATTAGAGATTAAACATCCAGGTTTCTTAGGACTGCATGACAAGTGCAAAGATGACTAGCTGGATGACTAGCAGCCCCTGCGCTTTGTCTCTATGCTTAACTTGAACAACTCTTTTATATCTAGCTATGAAGAATGTGTTACAGATGGCAAGGATAACTAGGCAGTTAAACTCCACTTTGATGCATGCTCATTCCCTTAAAGATAAGGTTGTCCTCTACAATATCATCAGAAAAAATATTATATAAAATATATAAAATATAGAAGCTACAGAACAGACAGGTGAGTTTCTGTTTTGGTAACAGGGCACACATGAATTCACAGTGTGAATTTATTCCTGCTATGTCTTCTGAATTCTGTAACTGAGATTCCACAAAACAAAACAAAAACAAAAACAAACAAACAAAAAAAACCCTACAAAAAGCAAATTATTTTGACATTTCAGAACAGCAAAACTTGGCTTATAATCAAAGTTTCCTACAGTATCACTGAGTTTCTCATTTTCTTGTACTTTCTGATCTCTGCAAATGTTGATGAACTCAGAAATCAAGGCACACTCAGTTAAAGGGTAAGATATAACATATGCTACCTTGCTGCTCTCTCCTGAAAATTAAAAACTAAACAACACAGTTGACATTATAGAAGAAGAAAAGAGAATAAAATACTCTTAATTATAAAAACAATTTTAGAAGACCTTCAGATTGATAGAAGTAAGTATGTATCAGCTGGCATGACTCCACTGAATGGTGTTTTACTTTTCTAAAAATCTAATCCTACAATTCAGGGGAGAGTAGCCTGAAGTATAACACTAGCCTGGACTCCACCTCATAGGAAACAACTAGATAATAGCCAACCACGTTGCAACTGTGCTGAATTAAATTGTTTAAAACATTGATTTTTTTGCAAGCCTTCAGATTTCACCAGAAAACCTTAGGGAAAACTGTGCTGCATTTGCTCATTTACAAGGAAAGGAAATCTAAACATAACTTCTTTTTATATCTGATATTAAAAACATCTGTATACTGTGTTGATGTCATGTTTTCCTAAATTTCAGACAACCTGTAACAACAGAAGAGTTCTGACTTCCTCCATTGCAGTGGTTTAACCCCAGCAAGCAACTCAGCAACACCCAGTTGCTCATTCATTCTCTCCAGGTGAGACAGAGAGAGAATCAGAAAAGTGAAAGCCCAAAAAATCATGAATTGATGTAAAGACACTTTACTTGGTAAAGCAAAAGTTGCACATGTAAGCAAAGCATGTTTCCATGACTGAAATCCACCTAGCAACATCAATATGATAACATGACTGAAAACGTCACTTCAAATATTCATACAGCTCCCTAGTAAAAATGCTGTGAACACTGGAATCCCATCTTGCTACCTGGCTAAATTCATACCCTTTTCATAGATCTCCGAAATATGGCCCTGGAGTACGATGATTCTTTTTGCAAATAACAAAATAACAAATCATCTCACATTTGTTGCATGTTCTTTTGATGATACTAAAACTACAAGTGACATAGATGAGCCACCTAATACAATGAAACTAGCTGTGCTTGGCAAATGAATGATTCATGGCAACATGCATCTTCATTTTACCTAGCAAAATAGCTCTGTAAGGTAACAATGTTTTTCCCATGCTGGACACAGGCACATTTATCTCTAAATATTGTGATGCAGGGCTGACATTTCATTTAATCATGCTACCTTGTTGCACCCTATAATGTGCCATAACAGAACAATGCACTAGAGTGACAAGCTGTCACCTCTAATAAAGGTATATAGAAATAGATGTGCCTTCATTGGAGGAGGCAAACTGTTAGTTCATCCAGAGGTGTCCAAGAAGAAGGCAGTCCTGCCAACGTACCCTACATCATAGATTGGGAATTTGAGACCATGAGAGATATGATGATTTGCAAAAGTTCCTTTACTTGCTCAGTACAGAGCTTATGTCCCAAGCCAGACCTTCCTACCTTTCTCCAGACTGAACCATTTAATAGGTTCTATATCTAGTAATGACAAAAACAAACAAACAAACAACAAACCAAACACACCAACACCACAGAATTAAGCTGTGCTTGTGAATTAACTGCAGTTTGCTCAACTGTTTTCTTGGTAAGATTAATCCAATTATTCCCTTTACAATCTGCCTATAACACTGCAATCAGATTGAGAAGGGCCTCAAAAAGGGAGAGCTACACTAGCTTGAAAGAGGAGTCAGTCTGTTTGAAAGAATCACAGTGAATAGTGTCGTCCAAATGATTTTCATGGACTTTTTTCCTTCTACTTATAAAATGAAACAAATCTATTCTAACAACCAGAGAAATACAGTAATCTCATGCTACGTCTAAATGTAAAAGATGCTTCTTACAGGAAGAAATCATTTTCTGCCTATAATCATGAGAGGCACTGGTGTGATGGTGCAGCAAGGTCATGGCACAGCACAATTCCAGGACCCGTGCAGTGAAGTCAGTAGCACTGTAGCTACAAGAACATGATCATTGCCCGCATTTGTGTGGTATACTGCATTACAGTTTGTTTCCATGTTCCTTGTAGGATAAGAAATCACAACAAATGCTTGACACCTAGACACTGCTGTAGGGTCTCCTCTAAAAGCACAAGGTATGTCAGATAGACTTACTGTAACAGCATGAGGAAAAAAAAGGGATATCAAGAGGCCTTTTATTCTTCCCTCAATGTTTATTGCTGGTTTCCACCTGCTGTAATCAAGCCTACATCTCTCTCCATCCACCTATTTGCTGAGATACATAATTCCACTTTCACACACTTCCCTTCTTAGGCTTCATTGTCAGTTACTGGTTCTTTTGACCTTTAACTGTGCAGGGTCTTGAGATTCATGACAGTGAAAATTCTATTTCTTTATTTCATTACTCACATGTAGTCAGATGTTTTTTCCTATACTGTATTTCCTATCAAAAAATAACAGTTCATCAAAAGGAAAGTGTTTTGTGAAAATTATTTTTGAAACAAAAATTGAGAAAAATGTTTAAATAGGTAAAAACATTTCATTCTGATCTTTGTGGAACAAAACAATTTAATTTTCTATTTTGAAATTACTTTTCATTTCAGGATTTTCTCTACTTAATATTTATAAATTCATTTAAAGAAAAGCTTCCCCAAATGAAGTGCAATATATTAGTTTTTCAACCTTAATGTAGTACTTGAGGGACAGCTGAGTTAATAGAGAACTTAAAGAAGAAAAGGCATTTCCAAATTATGAAACAGCTAAAGACACAGCCTGCAATGCAGTGTTTATGAAAAGGGAAAGACATAGCAGTAGTGTTTTATGAAGTATGCTATCATTCTCTTAGCTAAAAACCTAAGGGTATTTAATATTGAATTTGCTAATACCACACAGCAAGATAATTGTACATTCTTTCAAACATTAATAAAATTAATAAAATTCCAACAAATGCTTACATGCTGAAGCATATGGTTAGTATTTTATTAAATGTTCATCTTCCTCTAAGATTTGAAAAACAATTTTTCCTTAAGTAAAACACAAACTAGGAAAAGGACCTGAGAGAAGTTTACTCATTTTCACCATGAATCAAATACCACCTATGCAAAAAATTTACACACAGCTTGACAGACTTAAAAAAAAAAAAAAATTACACATCAAGGCATAGAGAACATCAGCTAACTAGTTTAGTTAGATATCCAGGAAAAAAAAAAGAAAAAAAAAAGAAAGAAAGAAACCAAACACCCTGTTTTTATGAAGGAATTACTGATTAGCCAGATAGATACAAAAGCTTATATAAAACACTAACATAGTGTTCGTAAAACTCTTCATCTTGATAGTACATTTTAGATGTTTGAGTCCAGGACATATTTGGGAAGCAGTGAACTATACTATGAAAATGACAAAACCAGAGAAAAAGAGTTATAAAGAAAGACTAAAAATGTGGGGCATGAAAACTTGTCTTCTATTTGAATGCGTTGAAAACAAGTATTGAGAAAGTGCAACCTCCTCTACTGTATTTGAGGTTGAGAATTCAGGGTTTGGTTAATGTAGAATTACCACTGTTTTCAAAATTGGAAAGATCCATATTTCATATTTCAAAGAGTAACACAAATTAAGTTCTAAAGAATCTTAACAACAAGTGCAGAAAGAGAAGAAATCAACAAGTGCAGAAAGAAAAGTCCAGACTTCAGAATACAGAATGCAAATACTTGATACTTCTGTTTAAGATGAGATGTTTCCATGTGCCAACTTGATACAAATATTGCAAAGTTAGGAATTCTCTGAATTTCTAAGCAATGAGGGAAATGCACAGGGATTTATGCTTCTTGTATCCCTATAACCAGGCTTTCATGATGTCACTGCAATTCAATGCTCCCTTTTTTTAAAAATCAAGTTGAAATCATCAGTAAACTAGGAAACAAACTGGGAGAAGAGTGGCTCCTACTTTCAAGGAAATCTGCTCATCTTCCCTCTTCCTACTCTGTTTTCTGCTTCATTCTC